CAATTACAGCCAAGGCCATTGCCAAGGGAGTGGGTATCATCTCTGAGGGCAACGAGACCGTTGAAGATATTGCTGCTCGCTTGAACATTCCTATTAATGAGGTCAACCCAAGGTAGCGTATTCCTCCTCCTCCTCAGTTTGGATGTCTCTGGCTGGATATTTATTGCATCCAGTTTTTTATTTAATTTAATGTTCTTTGAAGGGATGCCAAGGCTTGTGTGATCCATGGTGGTGACCTGAAGGATCTAACCCCAGAGCAATTAGATGATGTCTTGAAACACCACACAGAAATTGTGTTTGCCAGAACGTCTCCTCAGCAGAAACTGATTATCGTTGAAGGCTGCCAAAGACAGGTTAGTAGTCTTTACAATCTCAGATCAATCAGAACTTCACCAGGTAATTTTGATAAGATAAGAGGTAAGTACTTTACCTAGTTGGTGCAATACAAGGCAAGTAACTTCTGTCCACACTGAAATGGAACATATAAAGTTATTGTAGACACCAAAATATTGACAAATCGTGTTGGTGCGATCATAGCTGGTTAGGACAAGAACGTAGGCGTGCCACAACATGATGCAATATCCATTTGTGTTTGTACACAGGGTGCCATTGTAGCTGTAACCGGTGATGGTGTCAATGATTCTCCTGCTCTGAAGAAGGCTGACATTGGTGTGGCTATGGGTATCACTGGATCTGACGTATCCAAACAGGCTGCTGACATGATTCTTCTGGACGACAACTTTGCCTCAATTGTCACTGGAGTAGAAGAAGGTATGATATTGAAAATTTCATTTCAATGAAGAACGATAAAGGTTACTTAGACACTTATTTCTCAAATGTATCTTCCACTTCAGGACGTCTGATCTTTGACAACTTGAAGAAGTCTATTGCCTACACGCTGACTAGTAAGATCCCTGAGATGTCACCCTTTCTCTTTTTTGTCCTTGTGGGTATTCCTCTACCTTTGGGCACCATCACCATTCTCTGCATTGACCTGGGCACTGACATGGTATGGAAAGGAACTCAATTTAGATATATAAATGTAGAGAGAGAGCTGTGCATGCATTCATTTTTATCAATTTATTTCCACAGGTTCCTGCTATCTCACTGGCCTACGAAACTGCTGAAAGCGACATCATGAAGAGACAACCCAGAAATGCTGAAACAGATAGGCTGGTGAATGAGAGGCTCATCAGTATGAGCTATGGTCAAATTGGTAAGTTCATACTATTCTGTACAAAGCGCTCTAGATGTCCATTGCTTTTCGTTTCTTACGTGTCTTTATACTTAAATTTTAGGGATGATGCAAGCAGTTGGTGGGTTCTTTACCTACTTTGTAATTCTTGCTGAGAATGGATTCTTGCCCAAGGATCTGGTAGGAATTCGACTTGGGTGGGAAGACAGATATGTCAGTGACCTGGAAGACAGCTATGGCCAGCAATGGGTAAGTGTCACAGCTCTACCAAACCAGACAGATGCGAAACCAACATTTCTATTGAAATACCTTTCTTTTAAATAATGCTTCTTGTCTCATGCAGACCTATGAGCGCAGAAAGATTGTGGAGTTTACATGCCACACAGCCTTCTTTACCAGTATTGTGATTGTACAATGGACTGATCTGCTCATCTGCAAGACCAGGAGGCTTTCCATCTTTCAGCAGGGAATGAAGTATGTACACATTAAACAAGCCATAAAATATTGGTGATATCTATCAAACTGAATTGTTTGTTCAGTTCCACCAGTTGTTGCTCATTGTACGTCTATAAGCCCTGCTTGGCCAGTTATTAATCTTAATTTGCTTGCTTTTTTTTCTTTTATAGGAATAGAGTCCTCACCTTTGGTCTGTGTGTGGAAACCGCTCTGGCAGCATTCTTATCCTATTGCCCAGGCATGGATGTTGCTGTCCGAATGTATCCAATGAAGTAAGTGGAATCTGAAAGTTTTAATGAAACTTGCTTAAAGGCATTACATTTCCCGCTAAGTATATATTTTTAACCAATGTTTTCTATTTTTTTTAGACCATTGTGGTGGTTCTGTGCTATGCCATACTCACTGCTCATTTTCATCTATGATGAAGTTAGAAAATACATTCTTAGGCAGAACCCAGGAGGTAATATGCACTTTCATTTTACATCTAAACATTATGTTTCCCAAGCAGACGGTTGAATTTTAATGACAGAGATGACTTACATTTACATTTGTTTGTTGTATTTCATTCCTTTAAGAGATCAAGCATGAATTAATATTTGTGCTGTTTTGTTTTAGGCTGGGTGGAACTAGAAACATACTACTAAAACAACAAATTTCTATTGGGGATGTGCAAGGAGACATTCATTTTGATGTTTTCAAAATGATACAAAGTCAATAAACATGTCAGATTAAATGAGCTGAATTTGTTTTTGTGTCTTTTTTTATGAAACTAGAAAACAAAGATCCACGTGACAAAACAAGTCAATGAACAAAAAATATATATAGCTACTGTAGTTGCAATCAACATACTATGATGACATCAAAAGAATATACTGTAGGTTTCTATAAACCTTTGAGTGAAATCTAATACAGATGACAGCAATATTTAAAATATCAATTTTCCATACTTTTAATATCAGATTACAAAAAGGAGTGGTGACAACAATTACAAATTTAATTACAATGGCCATTACATTACATCTGTATGTCATGTATAATTACATCGGTGTCTTTTAAGACGGGGAAGTACAAGGCATGATGGGAAGTTTGTTCATGTTGTTGGTGAATTCATGCCAGAGAAGTAAAGACGCTGTTGGTAAAATGTTAAAGGTGCAATAGGTGATTGTCTTCAAAAACATTTTTTGTTATGCTGGCTGAAAGTCTCTTCACATCCCAATAGCAATCATTAAGTTAAGTGTTCTAAGTGTATTTATATATTCTTTGGAAGGACCAAGAAATGTTCATCCAATCAAAACGCTCGGTCCTAGCGTTTTAATTGGCTTTCCTACCTGCCTGTCAACGTATGTATCTGCATACCTCTGCGCACCGGGTTCACGCAGACAGGATCGTCATCAGCGCGTTCACGCACACTGTGCAGACAGAGTGAGGATGGCAGACAAACATCAACAACCCGATCTTCCTTCCTGGTATTGTAGTACTTTTAAAGTTTTCTCGCTGGTGAATGACACATGTAGCCCAGCGGTTCCCAATACCAGACCCCGCGCACATATTTTGCAAGTTTAGTTAACACACCCGATTCAGATAACCAACTCGTTAGAAGTGAGCTATGAACTGTGTTCCAATCGATATAATCCCTACACCGTTTTCAGTGCTCCCTACTCCCCTGAGCAGGGGTTTACTTCACTTCGGAACATGGGCTGGAATTGGGAACCGCTGATGTAGCCTATTGTAGTAATGTTGTCTCTGGTATTCTGGTCTGTGAGCGTATATGCGTTCAGGGAGCGTGGCTTTATACCGCGATTGTAGGGAGGGTTTTTACGTTTTTAATCACAGTGCTTTGCATTCTCTGAAACAATACATTTTTATAATTTCTGTGAGTGTTAAAAGACAAATGAGCACTAGGATAAGTTCACCTAATTGAATTCTGTCATTATATACATTATACACCTCATGCATTTCCACGGCTTCCCTCAGGAACTGCTGAGTAGCTGGTTTAGATTTATGAGTAACCTAAAATAAGGTCAGTGGTTAACATTACTTCAGACTTTCATCAGAATGTTAAAGCCGCTAAATTTAATTTTGAATTATTTTCTAACAAGTCTCTAAATGAAGACTTTTTCATCACAAACATTAAACGTAGGGTGACTTCTATAAACACCTTAAAGAAACCGAGTTGCCTAAACGCCAGTTATGTGAGGTAAACCTCAAGTTCACAACATTGGCTCTCACTTCCATATTTCTTTAGGTCCTGACATTCATTTGAGTAACACACTGAAAAAGATCATTCAAGACAACAGTGTCGTCTTGGTTCTTCTTTCAGGGGGCGCTTACAAGACGAATCCTTCATTCAAATCTCTAAAACGTTACGTGGTTTTATTGTAAACATCCGTACACTATAAAGTAACTTTTTTTCACATTTATTTGAATTTGCAAGTGTAGCATAATTAAACCCCCTAACAATCTCTACAGAATAATTTACAAACGGTATGCATCATTTTTTTATTCAATCAGCAAGGCACATGTCTCTGCATTAATGTACTGTAATATTTTTTATTAAACATAAGCAGCCAATCAAGAGTTAGTAGTGCCCAAGCTACCAAAATAAAGCAAATGTTCTAATACTTGATGAAAAATGTGATCATCTATATATACTGACTTACAGTAGTGTCATACAGTCTAAAAATGTCCTGCCTAAAAAAAAATAAAAAAATAAAGTTTTTAATTGCATTTAAAATCGGCTGGGATAGACTTTCTGCAGACCAGTCAAATTCTTCCACACTGACTGAATCAATCATTTCTTTTTGAACCTTGCCTTATACACAGAGGCATTGTCATGTTAGAATAGAAAAGGGTCCTGTCCAAACTGTTGCTATACAATTAGAAGCACACAATTCCCTAAAATACTAGAATATCATTACATGCTTAAACATCAAGGTTTGTAAAATGTAATATAAATATATATATATACACGACTATAAACACACCTAGCATAAATATTTTTAAAACGGCTGATTTAAACATTTTGTGTATACATAGGACTACAGTAAAAAGCCTAATCATCATCATAAAAAAAAACACAGGCTTTTTTTTTTATAGTTCGCCCAATCATTTACTCACCCTGGTGTTGTTTCAAACCTGTATGACTTGAAGAATGATGGGGTCCAAATAACAATAGACCACATTGACTAATTTCTCAAAATATATGGGTGTTTCATGGGAGAAACATCAGAAATATGTGAGGGTGAGTAAATAACAATTGTCATTTTTGGATGAATTGTAATAAAAATAAAAACAAAAACACATTTTTTTATTAACAGACACACAAAACAATAAAACACGCAACAATGAATTGCTTGTGCCACCATTTCTTAAATGGCAACTTTATTCAAACCCAATACAAGTTTTGGTAGTTGACATTTTTCAGACATTGCAATAATTGAATATTACATAATATGGTAACAAAAAACACATCTTAAAATAATGGCAAAAGCATTTCTTTCTTTCTAAATACATTGAAAGAATATAGTAAAATAAATTAAACTAAACTAAATCAAATCTAACTACATAGTCACTGCAGAATACAATATCTGTTACAAGCATCTTTATGATCCAAAAAGAGCAGAGGCAGTTTTCAGGAGTTCATGCATATGTACATATTCATAATCACAATTAGAGCAGAGCACAACTGTTACCAGAGAACTTCCTCGATTCTATTTTAATGTCTATAACAGTTGCTGGGTTAGTGTTTCTCTGCCTTTCCTCTTTTTAAGAAAGAAACGCATAGCAATATATATTTAACACCATTCAGGGATAAAAAAAAAAAAAAAAGCTGAATATTTTACACTTTACATTGTAAATAACCTTAGATATAAAATATTGATAGAAAAAAAAACTGCATAAAGAAGTGATAATATAATACAAGAATATACTAAACTAAATAGAATGAAACTATGACAACATTAGTCAACTATGAGTGAATCAAAACCACACCCTTAACACTAAGACGTAAGTCCAAGGAATGCGGGAGTTTCTCATTTGGCTCAAAGAAGCGGAGGCCTTGAAATGGGGAAATTTATTATCGTTCCAGAGACATGGCTTAGAATGCAATTCCAGAATGAAATACACACAAAATACTATAGATATTGAAACATGGAAATATAAAAGCAAAAAACATTTGGATTCAAAAAAGAAAACTGAATATTTCTGAATCAACACAGTTATTGCACATTTGCACAAACCACAACAAATGACCTAAAATGACATTTTTATGTTTTTCTTTGAATTGTAATTCATAAGCATAAAAGCTTAAAAATGCGCTCAAATTCTTGCAACAAACTTGATGCATTTAGAATACATCTGAATAGCATTCGGACCAACACGGCTAGCACAGACATTTTGTCAAAGTAGCACAAAACGAATTGTTATTGTCTGGAAGTGCAAGAATGTGTTCAAAACTATAAAGCAATCAGCAAGGTATTGCACTGTTTGCCATTATTTTTCAGATTTCACATTGCTGAAAATAAAAATTACACACTCTGCTCATCATTCAGTAGTTAACAGTCTAGAGAATAACTATTCTGACTAGTATTTTTTAAATTTGATTGTTTTTTTTTATTCTCGGTAAAAGAGCTTTTCCACAGCCAATTTATGCCATCTAAATTTCATTATGGCACTGTCTATTTACACTGAGCGCAAACAAAAACTATTTTTACCAACTCAACCCACCAATGCCTAATTTAACTTTATAACAAACAGCATATTAATACTAATCACACTTTGTGTGATTGTCATTATTGCCTGCACTAAGTGCTATTTGTTGCTATTTCTACTAGGTACAAACAGTATATACACCTTTTTGCACCCAGTGTAAGTAAAATCTACCCTTTATTATACAGATACACCACCTACACTGTGCACTTCACATCAAAAGCCACACAAAAAACATTAAAATTAATGATACTGTCCACACTGGATGCTTCGTGTCATCACCAGAAACACTATTTCTGACAAAAATGGATTTGCACCCAAATCTTTTTTTGACAGTCTCAAGTCATTGCTGTGTCTTGCATCAACAGTTATGAGAATCGATATAATTTACAACCATATCTCACGTCACCCATACTGATTTTTCTGGCAGACAACATCAGATTTTTTCACACAACCACATTCAATTAGTAGTATGGCTGTGACTGCTGCATCGAGATGAACACGCCTGAAGTGACCACTGTCTATGCACATATTTAGTTTGTTTCTCTTTCTGGTGGACACCAGTGTCATAGCAGGTCCAAGAAGGAAGATGGACCTGTCAGAAAGCTTTCGTCATACCACCAGCATGCTTCTAAGCGAAGATGCCACACCAAGTCTATATCATCACTAAAGCAACCAATGCAGATAGCACACATTGCCAAAAACATTGCAAACAAGACATAGATTCAGCTGATTATATGCAAACAGTGTGGATAATTTGATGAAAAGCAGTGTGAACACAGTGCAGCAATTAAACTGAGGGATGATTTGTGAACGCAGGGGAATAATATTGAAAAGTTCACAACTAGGCCTTTAAAAAAATAATAATTCCACATTCAAAGTCAAAGTTTACCGCTCATGTCTGGGGGAAAAAGAAAAAAAGACTGTTCTTGCGAAAGGTGATACGATAAAAAGTCCTCGTTCTGAAGTTTGTTTCTTGACCAAACCCAGCAGAGCTGTTTTTTTTCTAGAAAGTAAAATAAGCCATGCGAATTTGTATTTGGAGCAGCAAAACAGGAACTATGTACAGCAAAGACATTTTCTTGATCTTGATCAAATTACTGGTACTGAAACTAAACATGACATACTGTAGTATGAACTTACCTACCACTACATTTTTATGTCTTGTGAATTCAGACTTTCTTTCCCGCCTTCATTCAGAAGCGCTTCTTCTATGAAATCACAATAATAAACAAGAATTAAGGACAGATTATAACTAAAGTGTCAATGAACACATGTTCAGAGTTTTCCAGTGTCTTTGTCATCATTATGATTACGTGATGATATTATACACTTTAAAATAACTTGCAGTAGAACTGTAATTACAAAGAGCACAAACCTCTTTAAAAATAACTTGAGTAAAAGTTAAAGATAAGATAAAGTAAAAGTCTTTATCTTTGTGAAGGACTGTTTATGAGAAACCAACAATTTATTATCATCTTACTTGGGCTTTCTTCGTCTTGTTTCATCAATTAGACATACAATGAAATGCAACTCTTTTTATATTAACAGTTACATTCATTGGTGCACCAGAGTTGCTAATGATTTATCAAATATATGAATTTAAAGATGGCTTCAACATACAGTTAGTGTTAGTGTCACTCAGAATATGTTTCAGATATTTCTAGATTTTTTTGTGACAGATTTATTTTTCTTACCGGTACTTTTTGCTGTTCTCTCCTCGCACGGTTTATCTTCATCTATTATGAGAAAGGAAGAAGATGAGTTTATCAATTTCATGTACACTGGTAAATTACTACTACTAATAAACTCCATTAATTCAGGAATTAAAGTTCCGTCGCTACGACGGATTTCCGTCAGTTCATAAAGACAGTCACTTGCTTCATTCCTGAATGATTCTGCTGTTCGAACAAATCAATTGAATGAATGATTCAGTGATAAAATCAGTGACTTGCCACCACCTGCTGGCGGATTTCATTTCATTTTTAGCGTATAATTTCAGTTATTTAGATCATATTTCTGTATTCAAAATTTTATATTTAAAACATTAATCTCCACATGAATTTAATTGCACTCATGCTACCTCTGAGCCTCATTAAATGTCTGAAAATGTACCTAAAGCCACTTTTGTGTTCTTCTGTGCCACCTCTGAAGTACAAATTTATTAATACTAATTTCATATGATTGGTAACTTATTTGTCTTATTCTACATATTGTTTTAAATAGAAAATACAGAAATATGATTCAAATAACTGAAATTATACGCTAAAAATGAAACTAAATCCGCCAGCAGGTGGCGACAAGTCACTGATTCATTCATTCAATTGATTCATTCGAACGGCTGAATCATTCAGGAATGAAACAAGTGACTGTCTTTATGAACTGACGGAAATCCGTCGTAGCGACGGCACTTTAATCCCTGTTAATTACAAAATGTAATGGCCTAAAACAAAATATGAAAAGCAATTAATGTTTGAAATCTCTCACTTTGCTCATTTTATGTCACTATTACAGTAGGAAGTGTAACACGCCTTTTAATACACTGAACTTCAGCATAGTATGTATGATTTCCTTTTTTAAGTTTTGTAAAGAAATCTTGCACAGCGCAGAACGGAAAATAACAAACAATCATACGTAATGTTCAAAATAACTAGGTCTAGTTACACAAAATTTACATTTAGCAACTAATTTAAGAGCATGCTTGAAATATATTTTAAAATGCATTAGGGTAAATGATAAACACATGAATGAAAAAATGACATACTTTTCTTATTTCCATCCAGACAGTCCAAAATCGCTGAAGAGAGAATTTTTTTTATAAGTAATTGAATGTTAATTGAATCACCCATATCAAGTATTTCACAAAGTTGGTTTGGCACATGACTGAATGTTTTGGAAGACAATCACTCCAAAACAAACATAAACATACCTCCTATACAAGGTTTGCCTTTCAAATTGCTGTCAACAATTTCTGTTGTAGAATAAAAAAAACAAAAAAATAATTACAAATCAACTAAAAATACAAAACATACATTTGAGTATCCAACACCAAGGGCTAATAAGATTCCACAAGAAGAATGCAATTAGTTTCCTAAAATTTAAAATAAACATTCAACACTCTGTGCTCATTTACATTTTCCTGCATTAACACCACTAGAAGTGTATATATTAATTTAATCTGCTTCCAAAATACATTTTCACAGTAATCATAAAGCATACAGAAATACAGTAGTGGCCAAAAGTGATGTCCAGAGGACACATTCACACTATTTGCTTTAAATGACCCTACAAGTTTCAGTGTTTCCCCGAGGTTTACGGCCTTGGGGGAGGATTCCGTTTTTCCTTTTTAATTTTTCTGGACTCCTTTTTAATGGTTAAATTAAATTTGATTAATCAAAAAGCATGTCTAATTAATTAAAATCATGAAACTTACAACAGTTTAACATACATTTATTAAAAGTTTAACATAAATTACGTTTAGGGCCCAAAAAAAGTTACATTTTTTCCAACCTTATGTTTTATTGTTACCAAATTCTAATTATTGTCTAATTATTTGAAAGCATAAAAACTAATTTCATTTATCCTTACAATAGCCTTATGATTTTTTCCCTCAGAAATTCTGTGTTGGGTATTTACATTTTTAAGGCATAAAACATTCATTTAGATGTATCTTTTAATTAATGAAAATTATTATTATTATTAATAAATAATACATTTATTCAAATAATAATAATATAAAATAATTCTTATTTTTTTGGAAATAAAGGGGATTTAATATTACAATTAAAAATTTAAGAAATATTGTATGATTATTCCTTAAAAATAAGGTTTTAATAATTTTAGTAGTAGTAGCAGCCTATTAAGTACATTCTACTGAACAATAGTAATATATTTCTGCTGCAATGTCTTCAAGTTAAACCGAACTTTTATTTTGACGGGTTGCCATGAATACCTTTATATTCCTGTGTGTATATGATATGAGGATCGTTTTACTCAAATGAAACGGTCAAATGCTCATGAAGTGACTCTCAGAGCGGGCCGCCCCCTAATATAATGGCAGGGGAAACACTGAGTTTAATTAAACCATTGACATATGAGGAAAAAATTGGTTAAGGTATTTAACTAACAAAACTATTTGCCAAAAAACGCATACTACAGCTTATCGTGGAAATATGCATTTGATTTTACTATGCAAAAAAAAATGCATAGAAAAACTAAAATTTCACAGGAAATGAAGTACAGGGAGCTCATACAATAGTTTTACACTTTCCAAGCACAACTACGCAATAAGCTTAGAAAATCTACATCAACATAACATTAATATGCTTGATTAAAGGGTGAAGCTATCAATTTTCCTATGCTGGACATCACTTTTGGCCACTGCTGTACACTACTAGGAAATGAAGTACAGGGAGCTCATACAATAGTTTTACACTTTCCAAGCACAACTACGCAATAAGCTTAGAAAATCTACATCAACATAACATTAATATGTTTGATTAAAGGGTGAAGCTATCAATTTTCCTATGCTGGACATCACTTTTGGCCACTGCTGTACACTACTTCTGTCTACATATAGGGTACAAGTTTATAGACAGTATTTTAAACTCACAAAAAAACACAACAAGAGCAAAAAACACATATCTTAAAAGAAAATAACACAATAGGAAACTTACTCTGAAACTGTGGCCAGAACTTATACAGGACAACAAAAACAATAAGGAGGGCTATCAAGATTAGGAAGAGCACGATGAGAACTATCCACCAAGATCCACTCTCTGAAGAAAAAGAACATAAAGAATAAACATTATATATAACTCATACATAACTTATAATATACACCTTGCACAGCTGATTAATAATGCACTCTAAATGACTGGATAACAATATCCTGGTCAAAACTATCAGCAATCACAGAAACCAAATTGTATGATATAAACTCTTTCCATTTGCTTTGATACAAAGTCCAAATGGCCCTGAATGTTTTGTGCCTATTTTGACAGTAGAGCAGAGTATGTTGCAAGCATTAATAATATATACATTAATGCCATTTGCTGTCTACTGAGGATAGATGAAAATGTAATGTTCCATGTACATAACATTACGAAAAACAACCTTTCAATACTTCAAACTAGGGCTGCACGATTATGACAAAAATCATAATTGTCGATTATTCCCTTGAAATTCTAATTGCGATTATCACAATTTACATTGAATGATGTTTACACCATTGTTTGAAGCAACTGCATGCCATATTTTTATATGAAAATAAACAAGCTGAAAACACTAACTGAACTAACTTTTAGTGCTTTTCTATAGTATTAACCCTCAAATGTCAGCTATACACTGGATTGGTTTCTTCCTTAAATATAAAATAAGCATAATATTATAATGTTATACTAAAACTAAAATTAAAACAACGGAAAAACCCTTAAGATAACATGTAGAAAGAAGAAAAGACACATCTTAGGCACGCAGAATAACATAAGTGGGCTTTAAACGATTAATTGCACCTTTGAACGATTATGTAATTGTGGCATCCATAACTGTAATCGCGATTAGAAATTCGATTAATTGTGCAGCCCTACTTCATACTGAAAGGTTAAGTATACACTACCAGTCACATTTGAACAGTAAGATTTTTTATGTTTTTTTAAAGAAGTCTCTTCTGCTCACCAAGCCTGCATTTATTTGATCCAAAGTACAGCAAAAACTGTAAAATTTTGAAATATTTTTACTATTTAAAATAACTGTTTTCTATTATAATATATATTTTAAAATGTAATTTATTTCTGTGATAAAATCTGAATTTTCAGAATCATTCCTCCAGTCTTCAGTGTCACGTGATCTTCAGAAATCATTCTAATATGCTGATTTGCTGCTCAAGAAACATTTTTTAATTTTATTATTATCAATATTTAAAACAAAAGTGGAGTAATTTTTTTCAGGATTCTTTGATGAATAGATGGATCCAAATATCAGCATTTATCTGAACTAAAAAGCTTTTGTAACATTATACACTCTACCATTCAAAAGCTTGGAGTCAGTAACGATTAATTGCCACTTTGAACGATCAAGTAATTGTGGCATCCATAACTGTAATCGCGATTAGAAATTCGATTAATTGTGCAGCCCTACTTCATACTGAAAGGTTAAGTATACACTACCAGTCACATTTGAACAGTAAGATTTTTTATGTTTTTTTAAAGAAGTCTCTTCTGCTCACCAAGCCTGCATTTATTTGATCCAAAGTACAGCAAAAACTGTAAAATTTTGAAATATTTTTACTATTTAAAATAACTGTTTTCTATTATAATATATATTTTAAAATGTAATTTATTTCTGTGATAAAATCTGAATTTTCAGAATCATTCCTCCAGTCTTCAGTGTCACGTGATCTTCAGAAATCATTCTAATATGCTGATTTGCTGCTCAAGAAACATTTTTTAATTTTATTATTATCAATATTTAAAACAAAAGTGGAGTAATTTTTTTCAGGATTCTTTGATGAATAGATGGATCCAAATATCAGCATTTATCTGAACTAAAAAGCTTTTGTAACATTATACACTCTACCATTCAAAAGCTTGGAGTCAGTATGTTTTTTTGAATCATCTTAAAATAATTTGATAGAAATTAATACTTTTATTTAGCAAGGATGCTTTAAATTGATCAAGTGATGATAAAGACATTTATAATGTTACAAAAGATTTCTATTTCAGATAAATGCTGTTCTTTTGAACTTTCTATTCCTTGAAGAAACTCAGCTGTTTTCAACATAATAATAATAATAAAAAGTTTTTTGAGCAGCAAATCAGAATATTAGAATGATTTCTGAAGGATCATGTGAATCATCTTTAAAATCACAAAATTATTATTGAATAACGTAATCATATAATTACATTTTAATATATATTCAAATAGAAAATAGTTATAATATTTGCTAAATTGTCAAACAAATGTCATTTGCTTTGATATATATATATATATATATATATATATATATATATATATATATATATATATATATATATATATATATATATATATATATATACAGCAATTTCTGTAATATTTTATTTTTTTACCTCTATTGCTGCTATGTAACTACCTGTACAACCTGTTTGCACATTCTTCTCTTGTACATTCCTGCTCATCTTAATATTTATTAAGTCTACAGTACACAGTACTGCGCAATTTTCTTGTGTTTGTATTCTTTAATAATCGCACTGTCCATGGAGCGGACCTGACTTACATTTCACCGCTGGTCATATATTCTCTATATAACCATGTATGTGACAAATAAAAATCTTGAATCTATTGAATATATTGTTTTCCATTATTGTCTATTCCATTTACATTCAGATCATTTTAAGTGCGAGATGTCCAAATACTTGAATGTACATACAACTTCCAAACACAATAGAGCATCTCAGGACCACCTTAACATAAAAACTTATCTGACACTCAAGTGATTTTAATAAATGATGCTTACCTTCAAACAGATCTCTCTCATAGACCGGATCACTGGTGCTCTCTCTCACTGCATTCTTGAGCGTGCATGTGTAGAAGACCTCTGGATTTCCTTGTTTTTCAACTTTGAGAAGTTCTCCTTTCGGACTCTGGGGTGAGCCCTTCAGGGTTTCTCCAGCAGAATTCTTCCAGATGATCATTTCACTGTACTCGCACATTAAATACACAGCATTAGGGTTGATTTCAATCTTGTCTATTTTTATCTCAGGTTTGGGGAGCGCCGCTGTGAAAGAAACAAAGAAAAAAACATATTAAGTTCCAGTCCACAGAAGAAGAAAAAAAGACATTTAAAACAACTACGCTAACTTTAAAGAAGTCTTGTTAGAGTACAATATGATGGCACCAGATAATAATGCTGTGATTATATAATAATATCGTAATTGTTGTTTTAACGATGTGCGATTTGACAGAGTATTTTGCAAAAACCATTCAAAACATCCAGAGCGCACACATACATTACGTGAAGCCTAGACTAGTGCTTGTGCGCATTTAGTGCGTTCTTTCACTGCGTGATTCAGGCTATTAAAATGCATTTAGAATGGTCACAAATTCAAGACATGATGGCAGAAAATGTATATGTTTATACCACTTCATATAGTTATTCAATTTCACACGAAGAGTGCCGTTTTTCTCAAAAATTACCATGACAAATCAAATACACTTTTTCAGTTTTTGCATTTTAGGTAGGTTTGCTAAGGTTAGATTCATATATTCTATACATTTGAATGAATACATTACAATTAATAAAATTAAGAAGAATGTAAGAATTTCGCTCTGAAACATGATAATTGCCATTTATCAGCATGCTTAATTTTAGACAATAATCCAAGAATTTCGTTACAAACGGTAAACAATTAGGCCTACTAGAGAAATGTTATGTCGGAGCGGGATCTGAGCGGGAATTGGTTCACACCGCTCCGCTTCGCTCACATGCTCTGGTGTAAATACATCTAAATGCAGCTTCAGATGCAGCGTCTGTGATGATTTAATTTGCTCGGTAACAGCCCGAATGTCTTATTATTCAAATTCCCTGATTAAATGTAAGAATTTGACTCAAAAGGTAATGGACACTTTTAGAAAAAATGGCTTTATAAAGGTAAAAATGCCCATAAAATGCAAAAATCAGTTTAAACTTATTGGAAAAGATTCATTTCTATCAGTATGAACTGACCAGCACACAGAATATATATTAAAAACATTAGGAGTCAGCTGTCTTCGGCAGTCCTTAAGATACAAGCACATTAACACACTCAGCAAAATATCGTCTAATTATCGTTATCGGTAAAATCCCAGAAAATATCGAGATATCATTTCGTGTCAATATCGCACACCCCTAGTACTAACACAAACTATCACTTACAAATGTCACACTATATTGTTTATTTGGAGGTGTACCATATTAGAATCACACATAACATCTGTGTTAATCAGTGTAAAGCTTTTAAAGTATATCATCTCACCCAACACTTCCAAGTTGAATTTTTGTCCCTGTTCTTTACTGTTGATGTCGATGGTATAAAGTCCACTATGCTCAACAGTTAAATCAGTTATAGTGATTTCTCCAGTCTCCTTATTAAGCCTTGTGATGCCTTTGAATCTCTGATTCGGGGTGTTAAAACCATCTTCATCCCATTCAGTCGCTTTTACAACAACTCCAATGCTGTTTCTGTGTTTCCATATAATGCTGCTGACAGGAGGATTTAAGCTGGCTGGACGAAAAGACACTCTACCACCGACTTCACCAAATACATTTTTCACGTCTTCACCTAGTTTGTGAAATGAAAGAGATGTTAGTCAACATTCAACAAGCACATTTCTGTACAATAGCTTCTTACTAATAGCTTCCGGATAGCATGTCAACAAAAAGTACCCGTATTCAGACACAATAGCCTGTACATACCGTACAAATATAAACAAAACACACAATTATGATTGTTATTATCATGTAATAATAAAATAACCAAGGCATAAACAACTATAAACTAACGTTACAACCCTTTTGTTGTGGTGTAGGCCTAATGCTAATAACGTTAAGCTACACAAAACTAGGCCACAACAAAGACTGTCGTAGATAGAATTATGTCCAATACACCGCAGTCACTTGGTATTTGTAAATTATACACACTATTATGATACGTTTTCAAACTAAACGGCTTTGAGCTAAGCTAGCTAGGAGCGGACGCCGCCCCGTCGTGGAGAAAGTAGGTTAACTTTACCTGAAGCGGCTCCGATGGCGATGAACACGGCGCAGACGAAGGTCGTCCAGTATTTCAGAGGCGACATTTTTCATACAAAGGACACTTTCATGCGTCCTTCTTTCAGATTTTTTAGAAAGTCTTCGAGGAACACGCCTCACAAGCAAGGACAGAAACCATAGAGGAAGAAGTCCGTTCGAAACAAAACCGAAAGTAGGTGGGGTTCGCAGGATGTAGCTGACGCTCAGCGGTGTTAGGCTGCCATCTAGCGGCTGGTCGGTGTTACACGTTAACACATACACAAAGTTTGGGATCAGAACGATTTTTAATATATTTTTTTACAGGAGTTTCTTATGCTCGTCAAGGCTGCATTTATTTGATCAAAAATAGAGGGGAAAATTTTTTATATTGTGAAATATTATTATGATGTAAAATAACGTTTTTCTATTTTAATATACATTCAAATCTAATTTAATCCAGTGATGCGCAGCTGTATTTTCAGCATCATTGCTCTAGTCTTCAGTGTCACATGATCTTCAGAAATCAGTATAATAATGAATAATTTATTATCAGTGCTGAAACTGTTGCTGCTTAATATTTTTTTGTGAACCTATGATATTTTTTTTAGGATTCTTTGATGAATAAAAAGTTAAAAAGAACAGCATTTATTTAAAATAGAAATCTTTTCTAACAATATACACTACAGTTCAAAAGTTTGGGGTCGGTACATTTTTATTCTTTCTCTTTTTTTTGAAAGAAATTCAAACTTTTATTCAGCAGGGATGTGTTAAATTGTTAAGAAGTGATAGCAAAGATTTATATTGTTAGAAAATATTTATATTTTAAATAAATGCTGTTCTTTTTAACTTTTTATTAATCAAATAATCCTGAAAAAAGTATCGTAGGTTCCAAAAAAATATTTGTCAGCACAACTGTTGATAATTATAATAATAAATCAGCATATTAGAATGATTTCTGAAGATCATGTGACACTTTACACTGGAGTAATGGCTGATGGAAATTCAGCTTTGCATCACAGAAATAAATTATATTTTAAAGGATATTAAAATAGAAACCATTATTATATGTTGTAATAACATTTTGCAAGATTACAGGGTTTTTTTAATAGTTTTGTCTAAGGTTAAAGTCTAAACAGAAATTGACTTTGAAAAAAAAACCCATCCTGAGAAATACTCATTCTTTTTATTAATTATTTATTCCTCGGAAATTCCCTATAAGCCCTTACAGTCTAAGTACACTTAAACTAATACCAAGTGTTAGCCGGATCTCTAAAGATACATGCCCTATGTGTGCCCTATGCTCCATCTCAACTGAATTTTAATTTGGTAATTTGCATGTAAGACACTGCAAAATTTGGCAGTGAGCAAAATATATCTAAACTCTTAGGATCTGTAATACCTTTTAGTTTACTTCTTGTAAGAATGAGACCATTGTACCAGACGTACAGAGACAATTCAAATAATACCAAACATGACTGTGAAGATCACTTGCATTCACGTAGAACATTATATTATTATACTATTGACCATTCTGAGTGAGCTGAGTGAAGGGAAGGATGGGTGAGTTGAAGGAAATAATGCATTGGTAAAATAGATGTTTTCCCGCAGAAGATCAAAGTCTTTGAGGTTATGTAAACCTTACAGTACAGATACTCAAGAAAATATACTTCATTACTGTCCACCTCTGCACTTATCTAATAAGTTTAGTCTGTGTGTGAAGACTGTGTGCAAATCCATGAATGAATGTTGCGAAGTGAAGTAAACGTTGACTGATTTTCCTGTGCTCAGGGAGTAGGGCACAATAAACACTGTAATGGGACCCTGGCAATCAGAACACATCATGCATGGAGCTCTCTTCTAATGAGCTGATGATCTGAATCAGGTGTGTTAAGTAAGAGAGACATGCAAAATAATCAGAGCAGTGATTTCTAATGTAAGTGTTTATGTTCAAGAACTGGCAAAAGTGGCAATACTTCGCAATGACTGAAAACGTCGCAATGTGCATACTATCCATCCTAAATTCTATGTTATATTAGTAATTTTCAATACTATTTAGGGCAGATAGGGTGGCTTGTATGCACATTGGGACGCAGGGATTGTCAAGCTTTATAGCAGCCAAACAGGACATGATCGTAGAGGGAGCAGTAAACAGTCAGTACTCAGGCGAGGGCTCCCTCTGCTGATGTGGTGTTACAGAGGTCAGTAATGACAGAATACAATAGTTTTGTCTAAGGTTAGTGACTAAACAGAAATGGACTTTTAAAAAGAAACCCACCCTGAGAAATATGAATTCTCTATAATGTTTATTCCTCATAGTAAACCACATATGAGTGCATGCATCCTGTTGAGATTTATTCAATGCTACAGTAATATCATCTTATTACAGTCTTAAAGACATGCAAAAAAGAGCAACTAGAGGGAACGTCCTGCACCATCCAGCTGCAGAAAAAAAGAAACAAAGTAACACCTAATGAAATTAGATGGACCCATCTTTCTAGTGGTGACTTCATTCACAGGAGCAATGGGACAATCAGGACAAGCACAACAGGTCTAACGATGAAAGAAGATGGATCATTAACATTTCAAAGTGTTAGTCTGAAGAACACTGGCAAATATAGATACACTGTTTTTAATGCTGAAGGAACACAGATTAATGCTGGAGAAAAGGAAATTAACGTTTATGGTAAGATCACAAATATTTGTACCACCATAATGACAAAATAAGAGTCTCTACAGTAGTTAAAGTAGTAGGAAATAACCATGTTTCTGTCACAGCAAAGGCTCCTAAACCTAATCTGACGTTTCAATTAGTGACGATGCTCTCCTGTGACGTTGGAAAGCACACAGATCTGACTGTCTCCTGGTATGTAGATGGCAAAATCATCTAGAATGAAAAAAACCCAGTACTGCTCTTGACATCTGCTCAAGTACAGCAGAATAAACCGTACACATGCACTGCAAGCAATCCTGTCGGCAGTAGGGAAAGTGACAGCATGACATTAACACAT